AAACGAAATGTATAGTAGCAAAAAAAAAAAAAAAAAAAAAATAGATCAATGCAGTAATAATTACTTTCAGTATAGCCCGTTTTCGTACTCTATGCAGAAGAAGAATATAGGACGACATTGTGGGTATTACCACAGAATTCCAGCTGACCATTTGCATGAAACAACTGTTTTCTGAACTGGCTAGCTAAAGCGATCAACAAACATGGTGAATCAGAAGCACTCAGATGCTAACTCTTAAGACACTGGACAGTACAAAGTCAATGCAGACACAGTTTGCACAATTAGGTCCCTGTAACTTCATTTCAGGTGGTTCCTGTATACTATATTACAAATATTACTTGAATGAAAAGTACTGTTCTCTAATACTACACCACCACCCAAATATTTTAATAATTCAATCACTTGTACTTGCAGCAAATGTAAAAGAAGTCTAATCACTGTAAAATACTAACAGCATCATTGCTGCCATCTGCCTGTTTGTCTCAACAGCCCTTGAATCTTTTGCTCCTCAGCTGAAGCTGCCAACAAGAGATCATCGTTTTATAAGGGGAGGCCTTCATTAGGAACTGAACTGAGAACACTAGCTTGCTCTTTTAATCACTGAAGTCACCAACACTCCTTTCACAGGATGGATCACCTTCTGAAAATAAAATATCTGATCTAATTAAAATAAGTTTCAGCTTAGAAATGCAGTAGCCCTGTCATCCCAAATGGCAGTAAATAAATAGCTGGAGGATCTCACTACACAATACGAAAGAGTGAGAAAAATGGACAGAAAAAAGAAAAATACCACTGAAATTTGTACCTTCAACATTCTGTCATACCTGTTTAGAGACAAACTCTTTCAATGTATTTTACTTTAGCTATGCAGAATCAACTTACCAGAGTAAAATCCAGTGTTCTCCCATCGCTTTGCCTATCACCAGGCTAGTTACAAGTAGAATCCTTATTATTTAAAACAATAAGCACAAGGTCTAAGACTTCAGAAACCTACCCTCACCTTTTTCACTTGTTGCATAGTAAGTGCAGTCATAGCAAATATAATTTTTTCTTGCTTTTTGGAATACATATACATTTGGAATACAATACATATTCCAAAAATACAAAATATGTATTTTTGGAATACATATACATATACATTTAGACCATTGGAATACATATGGTCTAAACCAGACCTTAAATATGAAAAGTGATTCAATTCTTGCACCTGTATCTGTAGGAAAAATAAGCTTGCCCAAATTCTGCAATGAGGATGAACTTCTATACTCGTAGAAACCTCCACTGTGTTTAGCGCTTTGTGTACAACTTCAGCGTTATCCATAATTCACAAAGCTTTGAGGTATCAAATTGTTTGAATGCCTTAAAAATCTTATTTCAAAATACCCAACGCCAACTGTTCATTTTGGAAGCTTCTAGGTATAAGTCACATGGGGAAAAATCGTATTGCAGGCCAGCTTTCTCTCTTCATTAATAATTACACAGATTGATCACACATTCCTTTCATTGGCAAGCAAACTGCAAATAAGAGTGGTTTTGCACACAAAATCATTTAGAAAGGTGTGTACTTCTGTAAGCATTGTTGAGACTTGAGAGGAAATAAGAGTGGACTGTCTTCTGTTGCCTACTAGCAGGTTTTCTTTGATTATTAGCAGTTGACAACCATTCATTTAAAGCAATACCAGAGCAACAGACCTGAAGAAATCTCTTCAAATTTTAATTCCTCCGATTCATCAGGTGATTTTCCATGCAAAATCAGTGTGTCTCGATATTTTCTATGAAGTTTAAACTCTGGGGCTGGAGTCGAGGTTACACAGGATTCAGAGCTCTCCTTAGAGTCCATTTTCAGCGTCCATGTCATTAGCTGCACCAAGTCATTCATTTCATTCATATTGCTTTTTCTAGTAGAGGAGAAACAAGATGTAATTCAGTCACCGTTCACAATGCAACCTCCACCTCGCATTCAGGGGACTTTCATTAAGTTTAGTGAGGTCCTGCTAAGTATGCCATGCTAAATTACTTCTTGTGGTGCAGTTTTATCAATAGCAGCATTAGCAGTATTTCAATCTAACAAAGGCTCAGAGCCCATTCGCCTAGCAACAATTCACAATCCTATTGGCTACTGCTACCTGTGTAGCTGCACCTGTGGTAATGCAACAAATTACATTTTTTTGAGAAGCTGCTTACACTGAGAAAACCAGATATAAATTCAGCCTCATTCACAGTGGAAAGGAAGCATATTGGCACCTTTGAACTCATGCTTTTAACGCATCCTGACAGTTTATGTCCTTTGATGCTGGAAGACTGGCTTGTTGGGAAGCTACAGTTGACAAAAAACAGAGGTACACAATCACATGTCCCAGAAAGTTAAGCATGGAAAGTTTATAGTCACAGAAGGGCAACAGTTAAATGGAGTTTGTTTTCTTTACGCATCACACACTTCTTCAATCACTCACTGTGTAGAGATAAAGTATGAAAGCAATTCCTGCCATTTTTTTCCACTCCAAGTCAAGGTCCAATATAGCAGTGAAAACTCCTGCACAGTATTAAACAAAATACTTACTTCTCCTTGGAATCACCATCAGACTTATCTGTAGAGCTTGTGGAAGAGCTTAACTCATCATCAGACAGGCAATGGGTTACTCTCTTTCTCTAAGTGAAGAGGGAATAAATGACAAAAATTCTAATAGTCAAAAGTGATTTATCAATACGGCATGAATTACTTTTACACAGAAAAACACTCGTCAACAAGCGTATTTTTACAGACTCAGCTTGATAATATTTAAAAGGTGTAACCTTTGGTTTTAAATACAAGCTAATACACAGGACCTATTTTGTGAAATGCTTATTTGACTAGCATTACATCTCAGTCATGCAGTTTTAACCACTATAAATGCTTCACCAAGTGCCTCTATTAAAAACAATTAAATCATGTATGTTTATAATATAGTTGGCTAAGAACTGACGAAGTCATTACTCTTAGCCCATCAGTTCAGTAAGTTCTCAGCATTCCCTAAAATACATGGAGACTTTAAGCACTCATGTCTCTACAGTCTTGTGTTCAGTGCATAGCATAATATGCAAAAACATCAGTAGCATATGCACATACAACTAGTGTGTACTAACCTTATGTAATCTCAGTTTGCGAATGCAGATGAAGTTTTTGCATTTAGATACCAGTGATTAGCATACACACATAGGTAAAACATGCAAAACACTTTCCATGCAAGTGCTGGGCTGAGGAAAATAGAGCCTACACTCTGAAATCAGACTAAAATTTCTTCACAGTTACTCTTCTGCATTTATTGGTATTAATAATGTTCCCCTGATGTTTGCAGAAGATTTTATCCAATGTATGTTTAAGGTCTTAAAAAAGACTTTGTAATTAGACAAGGAAGAGAATGTTGACAGAAACTGTTCACTTTTTATCTAGCAACTGTTCCTTATTGCCAGCATATAAATGTATGCACTTAACATGATTGCAGATTAAAAAAAAAAAAAAATGTTCAAACACCACTACCAAAGCAAAATTAGATGTACCAGGCTAGAGGTGGTGTGTTGTTAATAGAAATTTAAAGTAGACTATTTATCTATAACTAAAGCATAGCTCAGGATGAACTTTTTCCCCTCCAAACTAAAGTAAACACTGCAATTTAGAGAGCCCGTAACAATCAGTAAGAGATCCCTAGTCTTCATCTCTGACAAGTGGAGTGAAAACGCACAGTGAGCCTGGAATTTTAAGACTGATCTAGTCAAACAAAAAGGTGGATTAGACATCTGTACTCTACCCCGGGACTTATAAAGCAATGTACAGAGAACTGTGCACTCCTGTTGCCTGAGAGTTTCTTCCACGCATAGAGGTTTTTTCTTTAAATATCATTTTCTTCCCAAATTGTGCCTGCATTTAAATATTTCAAAAGCAGATGACCCCAGTTTACCTGAGAAATACTGGGATCTGATGAGGACTGAGCAACTTTAACATGATTTTCCATATGTGATTTTGCTTCAACTACTGCACTATTTGACGATCGTCTTGCTGGAATCACTGGAAGGATGACATTTTTACAATATTTACAACTTAGCTGCATGTATTTTCAGTTAGTTTCATGCTCATGCAAGAAAAAGTCTATCACCTGGCAGAAGACAGGCAGGTAGGTATTCTGCTAAGAGAAAACACTGAAGCTTCTATCTGAAAGTTTTATATTCTGCGCTTCGTGTACATTTCAAAGACAAGTTGTCACCACTAAACACAACTGAACATAACTGAATAAGAAGCAGAAAAATACAGACATATTAACAGAAATTTTTATTTAACACAGAACTAGACCCTTAGTGCATCTTGCCGAAGGCGTTAGTGAAGAGCAGACAGCAAGTTATAATTTCTTCACAAAGAAGTTATCAGTCTACTTATACACAGAATGCAAACATAAAAATTACCAGAGGGAAACATCTCCTCCTGAGACTGTTTCAGCCTCCTTCGTTCTCTTGCTGACAAGGGCCGCTCCTTCAAAAGAAGTTAATTTGATGTTAATTAGCAATCGTCACAGTGGCTTTTGTTATCTAATCACCTATAAAGGAAAAAAAACTTTTTCAACTGACATGGAAGAGAGAGCTATTAGAGTAGATCTTCTGATCATCTAACAAACGCTTACTTATTTACTACAAAACAGTCTTGGTCAATGAGACTAATACACACTCTAGAAAAGGAGCTTCTGACCTCCCTGTTCAGCAAGGCAACTTCTCATCTCACACTGACCAAGTGCTTGACAGGACCTCCACTAGGTAGGAAGCTACTATAAATTTCTTTAGTCACTGTGCATACACTCAAGAGAACAAACTGCTCAGAAGGAATGAGAGACAAAAATAAGCTGACACAGTATTCAGCACTAACCTTTGAAATGGCAACTTGACTTGTTTTGGTGCTATTTACAGATTCAGAGACTTCAGCAGCATGCTGCTCTGCACACCTCTGTGCTGTCTTTGTGTTCACATCTGAAGGAAAAGGTAAAGGCCGAGGAGCAGCTGCTCTGAACTGGAAAGTGAAGGGAGCAAGAATTTATACCTTTTTTATTAAAAGTTAAAGTACTCTCCAATCTAGAAGACATTCTTGCATGGTAAGGCTGGATGCCAGAGGTTTTGGATCCTACCGCAACCTCCTCACATCTCCCAACTTCATCACTTCACCCCTCCCTCTCCACACCTCTGCTTGCTTCCACTTCCCTTCTCCCCATCTCTACATCTTGTCCCACTGCTCCCAGACTATTTTTCAGCCAATGCTTTTGCAACAAATGTCCCCACCGTCAAAGAGCAAAATCCAAGAGAAAAATAGGGTATCATACTGAAAACCAATCATCCTCTTCTCTGTTCTTGTATAGCCGGTGCCTTTCCCCAAAGAAATCTCTCAGCTCAGTGTGGAAGCATTGACAGGAGCCCTAGCTTATGTGCATATGTAAGGGCCAAGATTTTCTTCCTAGAGTTTGCACTCGTAAGCTCAGGGCAGCCATTACACATGTCTGTTCTAAAATACTAGTAATCTACTATGCACTACAAGTGGCCTTATCCACAACAGTCAAGAAAAGTACTGCTGCACATTTTGTAGTCACAAGCAGTGAGAAGTCCTGACAGAAACTGCTAGGAAAGTCTGTAGCACAGCAAAGGCAAAGCCCACAGTTCACTGCGTTTCCTTGCACCTATCTGGCCCACCCACCTCACACTTGAGAGGTTATTGACATTCTCAAAGATTTACACAGACTGTTTCTAAAGGACATCTTGAGTGTTCTGCATTTTGTTACTAATGAAGTTATACAGATACACATGAAACAAGAACAGCTTAAAAAAAATAGGTCCCATTTGTAAAGAGTAAAAAATGAAAGAGTCTTAAAGGAAAGAGGAGAATTATTTTTTGAGCATCTGCACCTTCTCTGAACAGGCTTCAGCTAGCTCTCTTTTCTTCTGCCGTCGCTGCCGTGAGAGAGAGGGTTCACTGACAGAACTATGAGGCTGCAAGTGGGAAGTAATTTTTTCCTGAGCATCTCCCAAAGCTCCATGACAGACGTCATCCTAATAAGTAAAAGTACTTTTAAAAAATTTAGACATGCCATTTCCAGATTTACACATACACTCTTTTTAAAAAAATCAGCACAGGTGACTACTATTTGGACTGCATCCACCTTAACACATCACAGTTACAACCACAATAAACTCTTACTTAATAGACAGCTAGAAAAAATACCTGCTGTACCAGCATTTTTAAGCTACTAAACCTTCAAAGAAGGACACTTACTTGAATTACAAAAGGAACAAACGGTGCTAGCAGCTTTTCAGTAGAGTCCAAGCTCTACAATAGATAATGATTTCTCATTAGAAAGGCGTGTATGAAAATCTCATTGTAGACCAAAATGCAACGAAAAGACAATCACCACCTATTACCTCCCCATCCAAATCAGGACCAATTCAAGATTAGCCAAGCCTATTTAGAACATAGAACAAAGAAGTTACAAAACTACTTTTACCATCTCTCTTCTCAGCTGGAAAATAAAATTGTTGTTCCCTGTAAAAACAGAATTTCCATCATCTAGATGCAAGCCTAAACTACTTCACCATGTTGTCTTTGCAAATCTGAAGCCAAGGCTCCTAACTACTTAAGCATCTCTATAATTGCATCAGTAGCATCCTACTTTGACAGAAAAACACTTGCAGCAGCTCTCTAAATTTTAAGAGCTGGCCATTAGTTAAATCTACTTCAAAGTCTATTTCAATAAGCATAAATGCATTACCAGGACAGTTTGCTTTTGGTCTTTTGATACAGGCTGCAGGAGTTTCAAAGTGTCACCATCTTCTTCTATAGCATCAACAGAGGACTGCTTAGATTCAACATTTTCAGTTTTAGAAGTTTGCTTTGCTCTTTGCTGTAGTCCATCTTCCTTAATTAGTGGGCTACTTGATGTTATTTTAGAACTCCCTGGAACATTTAAACAGTTTGCTTCATTATTCTCTGGAATATGCTCACTGTCACGCTTCTCACTTCCATACTTCATCCTTTCAGATGGTAAAATATCAATATTCACTGCACTAACTGTAGCTAAGGAGTCCGCCAAGTTGTTCAAATCATTATTGCTTGGTTTTCTTTCCAACTCAACAGCTGGTTTCTCTGAGGGACAAAATTTGGTGGCTTTACATTTGATAATACAGTCTTCTTCATTCTAGAATTAACAGGAAAACAAAAAAATTAATTACATTTTGGGTATTATGCACATATGAAAGAACACTCTAAGCATTGAAGAAAAATCATTAACATACCAGAGTACATAAACTGCAATGAAATTATAATCAATTACAGATTAAGAGCCTCAAAAAAGCCGCAGCCCTCATTTATGAAGAGATACAGGCTGCATATGCAAATGACATATTTCAGGCATTGGTTTATACACATGCAGTACAGCTACTTTTCACCAGGACCATGGAAGAAAAGTTGCACTCCCTTGGCTCTTCCATAAGGCAGAAGCCAGCAAGTACCAACAGTCTTTAAGATGTACTACACCATACACATTCAGTATTTCAGCACTGAAAGCTTAAACCCACAGTAGCAGACTCACTATAGAAAATAAAAAACACGCATAAGATTGACTCTTACAAAATATTTGTTCTAACCACTGGAAAGAATTCCAACAATAAACAATTTTTGGTTGTAACTATAATTAGGTTTTTCCAGTCAAAAAACATATATTTAAAAACGATTACCACTTGTCATCAAATATTTGAAAAAATATTTGACCTCAAATACTCCATGAGTAATTCACATAGTGACCCAAAAATGAAAAACTGGATGTTGTTTTTTTACTTCCACTGTTTATTTACTTCCACTCTTGCCTAAACACAATTCCTTCCTTAATAGGAATTTTACACATTGCTAGGAATCAGATCTATGTTCCCATGAATGCTCAAGGCACTTCTTATAAAACTGAGTTTTTTCTCTAGAAAAATCAAGTGGGGTTTGTTTTGTTTTGTTTTTAAAAAGAAAATATATCTCTCTCACAACTTTGTACTTCCTGGCTTGCTCAAAGGAGTGGTTCTGGTGTGTAACATTCCTGTTTACTGGGACCACAGAACAAGGATCTTTAGGTTCAGAATTCACTGTTTTCTTATGACTTCTGGCTGCTTTCCTGTAAAGAAAATAAAAGCTACTCATTCAATCACCATCAATGAGATCTTAAGATATTTCTTTAGATTATACCAATTAAAAAATCCACTCCACTAAACAGCTTACATATAGAGAGTATAAAATGCTGGGCTTTTTCAACAGACTGTGCACAACATACTCATTTTCATCTCTATAAAAGGAGCTTAAAAACACCATTCAGACTCTGCCAGCAATGTACACTTGCTCTGCATAGCACCAAGATCAGTCCTATCTGGAAACAGTGAAATAATTGACTAAACGTAACAAAGAAAAATAATTATATCAGTGAATATCAAAAGGAACTTGGTGTTACAACTCTCAGCTGATAAATGGCCTCAAAGAACCGTATGGAAAGATGTATATTTCCTATAGCTTCCTTAAAAATACTGGTGCTACTTTTTTAACTCTCTGAATAAGCTGTGCAATCTTAACCATTGCAGAGTTTTATTCTGCATTCACAGAAAAAACTAGTTTCCATTCTAATTCCCTCCTATTTCTCAAAGGATCTAAAGAAACTCATATGTTCATATGCTTTGTAACTGCACATAACTGAACTAATTTTATCCTGCTACAAAAAATAGGAAAAGTTGTAAAACAAAGACCACAGTAACATGAATATTTTGCACAGAATCACTCAAATGAAAATATCTTACGCCTTTGTGGCTTCCAAAAACAAAGAAATTTGGTGCTTGATATATGGCTGTCGTAGTATGCTTTTCACACTAGGTCTTTCCTCAGGTTTTTTACTGAGCATAGTTCGTATTATTTCTACTAACTGTGGGCTATAATCCTTTGGCATGGGTGGCAACTGTAAAAGGAAAGAGAAGTCCGGTATTATTTAACGTATTTGTCAATAGGGGCTACTGCTAGATTATTTATGCATGACAGTTATATTCAGCTACATACTTTGCATAAAAAATAGTCCCATTGTTCATATGCTGAAAGTTACCCGAGTGCTTCACATCAAACAGAATACAGAAATTCTAAGTGTTTTGTCTAAGAACTGTTCGTAATTCTGTATTAATATCAGCAGTTAAAGTTCTGTGAATAGGCTTAAAAATTTATATAAAATAAATCCATGTTGATTTCATTATATGCCAAAGCAAGACAGATACTTAAATAAGCTAGTCTTGCCTAACAGGAAAACGGCATCACATGGATAGTGATTTAATTCTTTGCACAGTTTTCAAACCAGAAGCAAATTAAGTAAGTCATCTCTGAACTTTGAAAATTAATCAATATACCAGTTAAACAAAAGGGTAACAAGAAACTTGAGCAGTAACTACAAATGAATAACTCCCTGAGTCTGGTGTTACATCATATACTTCCATGAAATACCTGTCTTACAACATATATGATGATGCATGTAACATGCAAAATATTTTTAACTCCATGCAATATTTCTGATTGGAAAAGATAAGCTCAAGTTCTGGACAGAAAATCCAAGCACAGATAAAAAAATTTTAGAAGTTTTTACCTTTCCTTCAATAATTCGATAAACCAAAGAGTTCATGTCTTTAGCATTAAAGGCATGTTTCAGTGTAGCCATTTCATAAACGCAGCAGCCTAATGCCCAAACATCAGACTGAAAAAAGGGAAGAAAAATAAGTTTTGGAAACTTTTTATTAATTGTAGAAGTTTTATCTCCAGACTTAGTCACCTGCTTTCAAAGAGGCCTTTAATGACAGTAAACTAATTAAGACCAAATTCCACTGCAAACTTTTGGCTTCAGTCTCACTCATTTATTTTTAATCTTGATCAACTGAATTATTTTCTTCCAAGTATCACCAGTTCTTTCTGAAAAGAAGTGTAGAAAGTTGCTGTTCATAGGGTTTTTTGTTTGTTTTCTTTTTGAGTACAACATTGGTTCTAACTGGCAAATGAAAATCTTTTGATTTTTCATTGGAAGAACAGTTTCCCCTCAGCTCTTGCTCACTGTAGACACTCGTATGTATGGTGCGTGTGGTTTGCAGCAAGAGCTGAACAGGTATACAAGAGCATGTTTGCTTTATTTTGTTACATTTTAAATTCACAGCAACACTGCTTATTTCTCTATTTAAAATTGCCTTTTTTTTTTTCTTTAATGCTGCTGTTATGTCTAATACAGACTTCTGAATATAAAGCTTCCCGTCTGTTACATAATAAATTTAGAAAATGCAGCTATCTAACACAGACTGATATTTTTGTTTACATTGGCATGCTGTGATAGGTACAGGCCTATGAATTCCCACCTACTGCAGCAAACACAGTTCCAGAAACAAAGGTCCCTGCAAATCTCTCCCTTATTTTTTTTTGTTTGGTCTTTGGGGACATTAAAAAGAGTTGGAAGCAATAAGAAACTAAAAACAATAGATAAGATTGTAAAATTTCTCAGACAAACAAAATAAGTTGCCTAATGAAGTAGAAATGACATTTGCATTAACATACTCTACCTTGTAGTTGTAGGGTTTGTTAGAAAAGAGTTCCGGGCTCATGTAGTATGGTGTGCCTATGAGAGTGCTGGCCATGTCGTACTGGTTTTCCAACACTCTGGCTATTCCCAGGTCACCCACTTTGATTATATTTGTTCGTGTCAGAAAAACATTTTGAGTTTTAAGATCTCTGTGCAGAATGTGCTTTTCATGTAAATACTGGGGGGGGGAAAACATGTAAATAGAGTTAAGTAACCCATAATTGGTTCTTCTACACTGAAAAGTAAAATCACATTACACAAGTCAAAGAGGGAAAATACAAACACAGAAAAGACACATCACTATCAAAGTCAGGAGTGCCCTGCTAAAGACAGTATTAGTGAATTAACATTAAGAATGACTGATATAGGCATGGACCCAAAACTTGGCACTGCTTTAGCGAAATCTCCCTGTGTGGCTCTAACAAGCCACCAGAAAAGAGGAAATAAAAATGTAAAGACTCAGACTTTAACTCACTTTCTGCTGCCCCCATTTCTTAACAATCATTTCTTAGTCTTAAGTATAAAATTTCAGTGGAAGATACAATATGAGCTTTGTGTAAACAGGGAAGAAAATTAGTCTTATAATAAACAAGAACAGGCACTGTAGACTTGCATATGTCTGATCACAACAGGCAACTTCAAGAGAGAATTTTCTGGCCAATTTCTTATTTCTCAGTGTTAACATTTATGTCTGGTCTTTACTACTATAAGAACTGTCTTTAAAGTTTGATAACCTCCAATTACTAAATTTCAACAGAGTGAGATAAGATTTAATAGAAATTATGAATTAGTAATTTAAATTTACCATTAAAAACACTAGCAAAACCACAAAACACAAAATACTTCTGAAATAATCTGCCTTTTTTTTAAACTACATTTTGTAAATGTAATCTAAACTTTCAAATCAGAGAAGCATTTCAGACTAGAATTGCAAACACCCTGGAGGTTACCACTGTCTACTGTGATACAGAGGTATAGACATAAAATATGATAGCAATTTCTTACCTGAAATCATTAATTTGACTGCAATGACCTGTGAACATTTTTCATGTACCAATAACCATTGTATTTAGATGCTAACCAAGCCAAACTAGAATTCAAAGTCTGCAGCCTAACTGTGGAATTTTTAAATGCAGAAAGAGTCAAATTAAGTTTATATCCGAAGGTGACAAAGTTATACTTTATTTTACCTGCAGTGCCATGGCAATCTGGACAAACCACTCCACCACCTGATTCTCAGGCAAAAGTTTACCCTTCTGCTCTTTAAGTTTGTGATACAGATCTCCTCCCTCGCAGAAGCCCATAACAATATATAGTAGGCCATCTTCCCCCTGCCAGGACTCTCTGTAGGTGACTATGTTCGGGTGTTTCAACTGGGATAACAACTGTGCCTCTTGTTCTGCGGCTTTCCTCTCTCGGTTGGAAGCATTTTTAAGGTTTAACTTTTTGATGACATACTGTAAAAGAAATTGCAAGGTATATCATTAGAGATGAAAGCAACCATGCAGAAGCCCTAGGGAACTCCTCAAATCTAAAGGAAATACGGTATTTGAAATCTCCACACATTATTCTATATGGAGACTGCAATTTGTCTAGTAGTTACACATCATTTCTACCATTACACTTTAAAAATGGAACAGCTGTGGCTATTCGATTCATCTACCTGAATCAAATTCTGCACAGGAATTTTGTAGTGTTTTGCTTTCTTCTGACTAATGTTCACATTTATCTTTTTTTCCCCCACTCTCATTTTAAATGCGTGTTTATCATTCATCTCTTAAGCCCGAAATACCAAAATACCTGTTTGTCCATCACAGTTACTCTCAAAATGGGTCATTTCAATAGTAAATTTAAAAATATAACAACATTAAGGGAAGTATGCAGTCATATGCAAAAAAATGGCAATGCATGTCTAGGATAAAAGTCATCTGGCTAGACTTATTTTGCTCTTCTCTGCTAGAAAACCAAACCCAACTCCTTTCATTTTATTTTAAGGAAAAGTGAACTTTTCCTTTCACTTCTTCAGAAATTAAACATATGTTCTTCATGAAAAAAGCAAAACTCAAGAAATAACATCTCACAACTTCGGCAAACATAGATCATACACTTGAAGACCAAAAAAGTTGTTAAAATTTCAGTTTCAAGGCTTAGATTACAAATTTCCCATTGTCATAGTCACAAGAAATACTTAATAGAGCTGAATTTCTGAACACACAAAATAATGCTGCTGAGCTTTTCAGGTCTGTTCATTCTTTTCTTAAAAAACTTGTACCCAGCAGAAGATCCCCAAGGCAAAACTGACTTGGGATTAATTGCTTTGTACAAAAAGTCTACAAAACAGTGAAGCACAGGAGAACAGGAAAAAAGGTTTAATCGGGAAAAGAAATGTAGCAAGTAGAGATGCAGTTGGAGGGAGGACTGGTACAGCTAGGGGCACATTGAAAAAATACTTTCTCAAAAACCTGAAAGCAGACATAATTTACTTTTTTTTAAAACTTGCCTTAAAACTATCTGTTGCATTTATGAGTTTCTGCATATGCAGGTTTAAACGTATTCAAGAAGAAATGAACTATTACAGGGAAGCAGAGACTCTTGGTCATACTGAAAGAGCCACAAGGTCTTACGCTCATTCCTACATTTCTTTTATTCTGTATTAAGATGAGTTTAGAATTTTTTAAAACTGCATATGAAAACTGTTATTTACTTCCCTAATATGTACTATGCCAAATGTATTTCTAAGGAATTTCAGGTTTTAGCAAAAATATAATTGAAGCTGAAGATGGGACAACAAAATCCATAGCACACATTCATCCTACACAGCATCAATATTTAGGTTTGACCTGGCCCCCTTCCTCATGTAAATTTTGTGGTAGTCACTTTTAGGGCATCAGCTTTCCACAGAACAATCATGCCATGGTATACACCTGACCCCACTCTTACCTGAGAGCTTCTAAATGGAAACATCTACAAAATTTTTTACTTACTCAGTTTCAGTGTCCTTGGCAATTGCTTAGGGTGTCTACTTCCCAGGCTGGCCCTATTAATTTAGTCCAGCACATTTAATTAGCGTTGAGGAAATCTGCCCCCTATATACCAAGGGAACCAATTATGCAGAAATCAACAGTACCTCGTGATTTTGTGTTTCAGAAGTCTGCTGGATATTAGACAAGCTCCTCAATTCTTATAACCTGCAATGATGCATAGCTCCCAAGAGGAATATGACAAAACTAATTGTATACAGCATCATCTAAGCTTAAAATAAAATAGAAATGCTGTAACTACTGTGTTCTATGTGACAAGCCAGCTACAACTGTATCTTTGGGCATGCAAACCAAAAGCTTTTAGCTTTATATCAGCATCTGTCTTCAGATGATGTACTACCAAAATGCAAAAAGCGCGCATATAGCCTAACTTTAAACCTAGCATTGATTATATTTGGTTTAATGAGCACGTTATCCTGGCAAGATTTCCATGAAAATCTATTGCAATGCTCTTCCACCTTATTTGATACCAAATTGTGTACAAATTGAATTTTTTTGTTTGTTTGTTTTAAACATTTGGAGCCACTTGACCTTCTCCACAAAAAACCAGCATTCAGTTAACAGCAAATACACTTAAACAAACTATAATTTCTTTCACAGAGCATGTAGCACTACACCAAAGCCACAACAAAAAATCCCCATCATCCTACTACAGAAGAAAGTTTATAGAAGTTGGCAAAAGATAAGACACAGTAAAACACATCAAATATTTGAGATAAAATCACAACGATAAGGAAGCAAGACTCTTGCCAATGTTAATGATCAGCAGCATGACAGAGATGAAATCCAAGGACCTGTACGTGGTTGAAAGTCACCTGAACGCACTGTTTACTTTTAGGACGACGAGGTTAGCAACTCTTTGCAGACATTGGACTATGCACCGTGGTGACTGGCCTGGAGGGAATAAGTGCTGCCACCGCTGCTACTCCAACCCACAGGTTATAGGGATTCGCCTTTGGATTCCAGCCTCTTCCCTGCCTCCATCCAGAAAGGATGCACCCTCTGATCACCATTGGGCACAAACGCTTCTCCCACCATCTCTAGTCAAATCCTGGGCATAAGGCTCACGCCCATGGCTTCTGCGGTACTGCTCTGTGGGTGTCCTCCATTCCCGTTTCTTTATCTTCTTGCATTTTCTATCAAACACATCTGCTTTGGCCAGGCAAGACAGATTATTTCAAATTTCCAACAAAAAGGCAAAGGAAAAAATGCTTGCACTTCAACCCTGACATAACCGAAACTTTCCAGGCTCTGCCACAGTCAATACAGCAAACGCAAAGCCTGTCTTCCTCCAGCAGAGTTGATGCCAGCGAAAGCCAACACCAGAAGCTGTTTCTTCCGTCCTTGCTATCATTTTTATCTCTGCCCCACGTGCATGTCTTAGAGACTACACAAGGAGAAACAAGCCAAGAGCAACCTTTTCTGTTTCACGCTAAAAAGAGCGGGCCGTATCTTCCTGTCGCCCAAAGCTAGGTTTTCCTCCCCAAAACAAGGCATTAGACATTTTAAAAAAACAATACGCAATTTTATTTAAATGCAAATAAAAAAAAAAAAAAAGAGGATTTTGGGGGGTTAGTGGGGTTTTTTGAGATTAAAAGGGGGAAAACGTCTTCTCCACACCTTTGATAAAAGTCTTCATGGACAAGGGAGGAAAACAGGAATACCTCGATGGGCAAGTCCCGCTCACGTGGCCGCAGTCGCACCTCAACACCAGGTCACGGCCACAGCTGCACCCCGACACCAGGCCACAGCCCTGGTCGTGCCCGGGGCTGTCGTCAGGGCCACACGCCAAGGCCAAGGTCGCACTCCCCCACCAGGCCACGGCCCCAGCGGCATCCCCAGACCAGGCCACGGCCCTTCCCCTCACACCGAGCCACGGCCGCAGCCGTGCCCCCCTGCGACCAGCCCCTCGCTACCTGCTTGCTGTCCTGCTGGTGCCGCACCAGGCTCACCTCCCCGTAGCTGCCCTTCCCCACGGCTCGGAGGAAGCAGTAGGCAGCCAGGGGCATCCTCCCGCCGCCCGGGCCCGGTCAGTGCCCGCCGGCCGGTGCCCCCGGGGCCCGCCCGCCCAGCAGCGCGGCCGCCGCTGCCATAGAGATGCCCAGGGCTCCCCACTGCCACAGAGAGTACGCCGTGCAGAGCGGACGGCCGCACGTCTCTATGGTGCGAGCGCCCCGCGGCGCTGCAGCGGCCATTTTGGAAGCGGGCGAGGCGGCCCTGTTAAGAGTGGGCAGGGGGCCGGAGGGAGGGGTGGAAAAAGCCGTTGTGGTGAGGCAGGGTTTCTCTCTTGTTACGGCCCGAGAAACAAAACCGTCCCCTCAAAAACAGTGTCTCACAAGGGTTCTTGGCGTGCTGCTCCATGGGACCCGTGTGCTGAGCCCTGGGGAAGGGTGGGGACAGGGACACGGTGACAGCTCCCCTGCGGGCGGCTGTGCCAGGATGCCCCAGCCCCACAACGGCCCCGCCACCCTGCCGTGCACCCTGGGCATGAGGTGGCCAGAGAGGCCTGGCAGAGCACAGCTGTTCTACAGAGCCATCTTGCCACCTTTGGATGGGGCAGAGAATTGATTTTAAAAGCTCCAGGCTGGTTTAAAAGGAGCTCCTGGACCTACCCTTCCGTGTCCTTCAAAATACCCCACATTCTGTAAACTTGAGTATTTTATTATCAGTGACCATTTAACTCCCAGTCCTCAAAAGTTTGTGTTTCATGCAATGGAGGAGATGAAACCCGTTAAGAAGATGAAGAGAGAATTAATGCTGTCAAGATAACAAAGAAAATGGGCCTTGCAGCAGCAGGCTGAATGAGTATTGATTGTGCAAGGTGCAAGACTTGGGAGCTTGGACCTGGGTTTCAGCCATGAAGATGGATGGGAAAGCAGGTAATATGAAGTTTCTGGACTAGTCAGGACACATGTCAAGCAGTGATACCTAAACTGGGTACCTGAGTGATATGGAGGATTATGGGAGGTAGTTTTTGAAGAGGAGCATAAATGGGTTTAAGAGACTGCAAGCTCTGTTAGGATTGCAATGAATTTGAGCCAGGGACAGCCTTAAGAAGGTATCAGAAAGATGACGATTTTCATTTGGAAAAGAGGTGAGTCTGGAGCAGAGATCAATTGCAGTTGCCTGTACAGAAATGGCTGTTGAATTTCTATTTGGAGATATTACATAGAAGAGACATTGCTGAAATATTCTGTAAATTCTGTAACAGTATTTTGTAACAGTATTCTGCAGATTATGCAAATTCAAAATGCAGTAATTGATTTTTCCTGAATGCCTAATGTTTAATCCCACTTTTCACACTGGGTTATTTATTAACACTCAGTAAACAAAGCATTATATATTTATGCATATCGTTCAGATTGGAACCTTACTTTTTTCCAAAATGGAAAACCATCTATTGCTTTGTATTTTATTATTGATTCCTGCCTTTGCATCATCAGACTTTTTGGTAACACATGTCAGAAACGTCAAGGTAAGTAATCAACCATGTATGGGGCTCCCGTTCTTCATAGATTAACCTCCTGCCATTTATCAACATTTATCAGAGAGTTCATACAGTGCTGCCACCAGAAGCTTTGTGTTCTCTGTTACCAGTGAACACAAGATCAGACCTGGGACTCAGGCTAGTTTACCTCTAATCAGACCTGGGACTCAGGCTAGTTTACCTCTAATCAGACTCCATTTTGAATCAGCTTTCAAGAAACTCTCCTATCTCTCTTTTTGAAAGCATCACTTTCCTCTGTTTTCCCTGTCATCACCACATAACGGTAAAATGGTTTAGTGTAAATGTGTAAAACAATCGGTGCTGCCAGGGAACTGACTTTAGCACCTGTAAAACAATGCAAAATATCAGTGAAAAGATGCCTCTAAGAAGCAGAAAGCAGAGATGTAACATGGCATCCAGATAAATACGTCCACTATCCAAGTGACGTGGTAGGATTTTTCTCAAAAGATTTGCATGTTAGCATAACATGAAATATATCTCTGTCCCTCAAAGGGGCCATTCTGTTTTTGACTGAGTCTCTGAGTAAGACAGTGCTGCCTGGTGTTCTGCCTAATTTTCTTCATTTAAGTTGCCAGCCACTCCTACTCACCTCAATCAATTATTTTCCTCACTCTCAGTAGTTACATACTATGAAAAGTTACAGAGGGCAGATCTCTCTAGGGAGCACTGTAGGTTAGTGGGTAGAACAGGACAAAGCAATTTACAGTCAATTGCTGTTGATGAGATTATGGTCTTTGCCAAGAATTTTTCTTTGAAAATCAGGATAATAACATATCTAACTTTCAAAAATCAGCTTGAGATTTATTGCTGCAAATTGGAGATGCCATGGATTCTTATTATTTAACCATTATGTAGCCCAGATATAACGTAGCTTTTTCCTCCTAATTACCATACTACCTGTTGTTCTCTGTATGTCTTGCAATGCTAAAGCCTTTCTAAATGGAAAGTGGCCAAAGCGCTGTGCAATGCTCCATCCGTACATGCAGAACACTACAGAAAAGTCAGTTGATTCTCCCAGTTTTGTAATATACTTTATGCAAATGTAATTTGATTGAAATGGAAGAGATTGCTATGAGGTCTGAAGGTCTCGGTCCCCATCCCTGTCTTAGCTCCTTTGAGCAAGTAGTATGCCAGTGAGTAGTGATGAAGCATGGCTGGAATTCTGTCTGGCTGATGACCTTCAAGCTGTCAAAGCTGCTTTTAAAGCTATAGTCAAGTAAACACAATTGGCAGACCCAATTCTGCTGAAAATTGAACAAAAATCTGAATCAAAGATCCCTAAGTGCACTTGTACACCTTGTTCCTATGCATGCAGCAACTAAGGGTGGGAAAGTTTTTTCTAGATTAAAAACTACCCCTATAGAACTACATATTCAAAGCACAGGTAGTGATGATACAGCCTTCCTTTTATAGCCCTCTCATTTTGGCAGCGGCGAGACTCCTACATGGCTCATGAGGAAGTTTAGTTGTCATAGCTTAGCTGCATTGTGGTGTCTTCTCTGTGATTTCCAATTAGCATCACTTGGGATGGTGAAATCTTTAATGTTGCTGTAGATTTGGAAATAATTTTCATGCCTTATTTTTCCTACGTAGTACTTAGGGATATATGCAAATACCTCGTTCAGTGTTGTGAATTCCCGGAGGTCACTTCAAGTTAACTGTACAGTCTTTGCTGACACTTTTACTCATGCTGTGCTTTCGTTTCCCAAGCTGTAAAATCAGGGCTTCTTTCAACAAGTACTGTAATGGGAGCCCTCTTTTCCCTCCCTATTTTCCTGGGAGTTCAAATTTCTTTTTTCCTCTGCTCTTCCTCTCCAATTTCTATAGATTTTTTGCACCTATATTCTTTGCTGTTGCCACAGCAAAACAGTATTAAACAAAAGCAGAATTTGTTACTGTTATACAACTGAAAAAAAAATTCTAATAATTGGTGCAACTGGCAAATACGTGCAAATACTATAGAAAGATTTTATCAAGTAACTGTAATGACACAAGGTAGAGGATATTAAAATCTCAGCTTGATCTAGAATTGCATAACATTTTTTAATGAGACACTATCACTTTCTGCACCACGTAGCTTAAATGATCTTGATGTTAGTGAGGTCTCTGGCTACATCCAAGTAAATGATTAAGAATGAAAAAAAAAAAAAAAATCACAGGATCACAGTCACCTAATCCATTCCCTTGTGCAAATCAGGGTCAGCTAGAACAGGTAGCCCAGGATGATGTCCAGCTGGATTTGAGTATCACCACTGAAGATCAGCCCAAGTACAAAGCGATTAATACCTTTCACTGGGAGATATTTCTCTATTTTCTTTCTCAATGAGAATGGCAGAGTATCCCCCCCAAATATTTACAGAATCAGAACAGAACTCTTTCAAAACTACTGGAGAACCCATAATTCTGATAAAGAATGTGCACAACAGCAATTCTATAAAAATTAAATGCAGGTAAAGTATCTTTTCATTTAGGAGGTAGTAGTCAGAATTGCAGAATTTGTAGCTAAAGAACACATTTTTGTAGTTTTTTGTATTCTTAAACTGCTTGGAAAAAAGTTTAAGGAAAAGTTTGTGCCAAAAAGCCTGACATTTCAGTGACTTCCAGCTTTTCATTTCCCAGGGTCCATATACCTCAGTTCGTGTTTTGTAAGGGGAAATGATTAGGTGTAATGATAGTACAGATACAGAAAAGGTAACTTGCGTTTTGGAAAGGAAGGATTTGAATCAGTGTATACTCTACACAGCCATTAAAAAAGCCCACATAAGTTTGTGAAACAGGAGAGACGTACACACAGAAATCACCTGTATGGCAATAACGGTTTGAAAGATGAACCTGGAGAAACATACAGACTTTTTGGCCAGACTCTTACAGAAGCTGAGAAGCCTCCCCCAAAAAACCTTGCATTACCATAGATTTAATATAGTGTCTTGAAAAAAAACTCCAAAATAAACAAAAAAAATCCCTCTGTCTCAGTTTCCAACCTGTAAAACTCCTAACTGTGAAAGGTAACAAAAGCCTTAAATGTACCTGAGATGTGTATCTGACTTGAACCGTTATTGTGTCTTTACCCCTCTATTTGGTGGAACAGGTAAACATGCTTGCACAAATTGTGATCCATGAGGTTCTGAGAACCAAAAGAGATAAGGTATTTGTAGCCAAGCTTACGGGAACTGAGTTACACAAGCTGTTATTTTAACATGATTCCGTAAGTACGTTTGAAGCCTGTTCTCTCTTTCAGAAGAGAGTACACGGTATTTTTTTAGAGCTTCTGATATTTGCATCTACTCTGGGAGCAAATACACCAAAAAAAAGTTGTAACAGCTTTTTTTTTTCCCCTCTATGCAGCCTTTCATAGTGACCACCTCTCTGTAAGCCTAAGAATTACCATCTTTCTTACCTATTCATGTTAGAATGAGAGACTGTTGGGGCGAAACCGGAAAAATTTAGGACAAAGTCTAAAGAGTGTAAAGATGAGTGCGAGTGCGCCTGATAGTTTGGATGTGTGTGTGACTGGAAAAAATGTGCAAACTCATTTTTTTATGTTTTGATACAAACGCCTTTTTTCTTCCAATGGAGAATTAGTTTGAAAAGACAAAATATATACCACAGGACCCCAAAACAGGAATTCCCAAGAAAAAATGTAACCCTCAGGACAAGTTTTTACTTTCATGTCATCACACAGCCAAACTATACTCAAGGAAGCCGTATTAAGCAGATTTTAGTGTGTTCTTTAGTCTCAATGACATTTAAATATAAATAGCACTGAGCATTCAAGGCTCTTTTCCTCTCACTCTCCCCTCATCTCTCAGACGGTCCATTATTGTTTTTCAGCTGTAAGAAGATAACTTCTTCTTGTGTCACTTGAGCAAAATACAAAATCAGCATCATTCAAAGTTTAACTTACCTTTCAAACCCACAGTATTTAAGGTGCGCTAACATCAAATGAAAACCAAAAGATTCACCAAAACTGGGAATGCTATGAACAAAATAATTATACCTGCCTCAGACACCTTACTTGCTCTTCCCTCAAATTTACTTCACTTTACTAATTAGGACCTTTCTCAAGCCTGGACAATTTCTTTTGACGTGGAAGCAGAAGACAACTAAATAGGTGCCAAGTGATTTATTTCTAAATGCAGCTTTCCTACCTCAGTTATGATTTTTTTCCCTGTTTTTCTCTTTACAGAAGCGAAGTGCTGATAATGACTTGGTGAGTAAGGCTTGATTTTGTCCGGGCTACTGAGGGAGATTTATGGTGACAAGAATATTCTTACTGTGTTCACGACATGTTTCTATGAGTCCAGTCTGAGCAAATAGATATTTCTGAGTGTGTGTGACAAGGGGAGTAGCCGCGAGTTGCTTGTTTTAGGCAGTAGGACTAACTAGACAGTTCCTTTCCAAGCTCTGATGGAAACTCCTGGACAAGGAAAGAGAATGAACAAATTATTTTTAACTTCGTTGTATTTGAATAAATAGGAAACTTGTTTGAAGTCACCTCTATATCTCTAACAGACATCCCTTGTATGTTGGTTTTATTTTTATTTTTATTTTATGTTGTAGTTATTTCTAAGGAAGGCAAGAGGCCTCATCTCTGAGGCTGATTCCACCTGGCACGTGGACTCCACTTCAGCAATGCTTAAATGCTTTGATTGTTTGGTGACCTTAATCAACCATCCAGAGATCAGGCCCACCATAAAAACCCCAAGGTTCTTTCCAGTGCTGGTTTTGCTGCCAGAAACAGACCTTGTTGTCGTGGATTTGCTTAAGGAGTCCTATCTGTTGTTACCTACACTTTCACATAGTCTCCAGCAATCTTATACCTGAGCATTCAAAGAAAATAAATATTGCCCTACCCATTTCCTTGTTTAAAGAAGAATGAGCTCCAGTTGTGAGGAAGTTGAGAATAACATAAAATGGAATTTGGAGCCATCTGGAATTGTTTAGGTCTATTTTTAAACAAGATGACTACTTATATCCCTGCTCTAGGAGTCATCCACTCAACTGATAATTGCAGTCACTAATACTGTAGTTGTAATACTGTAGGCAGCAGTACATTGTTGTGCTCTTTGACTAACCATAAACAAAAGTCACAGTCTCAGTAGAGAAAAAAACCTGATTCTTATAACGGCAGTATCTTTGCTGTGGTGGTAGTATTTTGTTAAAGAGGCTACAGTTATAACTCATGGAATAGCACCATGATAGCAATGTGATAGATATCCAAGGAAACACAGCTGTGCTCCAGTTCTTATGATTAGGTCTTTCTTTTTAAAAATATGATTATAGCTGATTAACAGATACATCAGTATAACAGCTAGCTCTTTTTTTTTTTTTCATTTTTCAATTTACAGGTTGTCAATGGGATAGAAATCTATAGCATGAAAATTGATAGTAAAGTAACTTCCCGATTTGCCCACAACGTCATCACCAGTCAAGCTGTCAATCGTGGAAACGTGCACAAAGAAGTCTTCTTTGATGTTGAACTCCCTAAGACAGCCTTCATTACCAACTTCAGCATGTATGTACTCTTTACAATATTGTTAGAGAAGACTAAAAATCTGTGCAAATGCAACTGGGAGAAACTGAGCCCAAATGTTCATTTTTACTTTGCCATTTGATAGATTTCTAAATGCCTCCTGGTAATTTTCTGCTACTATTACCTTAACATGCAAGATACTTGGAGAAAGACAAACATTGGTACATCTATAGAAAAGATGACTAATTTTCAATTATTTCTATTCATCATCATGGACCTTAGGGAATGGGAGATCTTCTCTGGAGATCCATTCACCTTTTCAGAAATACCTCTTACTTACTCTGGTCTTTTAAAACCAGAAAAGTTCTATTACTTAATTTCCCTGATGGCATTATAGCTTAATTTATCTCTTCGTCTAAAAATCATATTTGAATGAAGGGCAGGAAATAGAGAGAAATATCCCTTTGCATTTGTACCTTTAGTTGCAATAATATGCAATTCTCACACCATTATGAGGTTTAATTCAGTTTAAACACGTCCATCTCTGCTAATCGCACTATGCCTGTTTTATTTTCAGTGAAAAGAAACAGTAGCTTTTAGGGTACAAATACTCTTAATGCATGCTAGAACTTCTGTTATAGGATGAGGTGAATCCCCTGTGAGAAATACCTGCTTAATGGTGTAAGAAGTCTAAGGATGACATGTTCAGCTGTAGACAGCTACATTTGGACAGATGAGTCTCATCCAGAGAGTCATCTTGCCATGAGATGAGATGAGATGAGATGAGATGAGATGAGATGAGATGAGATGAGATGAGATGAGATGAGATGAGATGAGATGAGATGGTCAAGTTGCTGAAATGTAGGAATACGGCAGATGTAAGTAGTGTTGCTATCAATCAGCCCAGTTTTGATTTAATTCATTTTCAAAGTAAAATTTGGTTTAGATTCTCTTAAGATACTGAGCACAGAGCTCTTAATTCCAGCTAAATTCACTGAGAAGACTAGCTTCAGTGAAAGTGCTCAAATCTTGGCAATATCAGATTCCTGGAAGTGCTGTTTAGCAAACCAATCAATAAACAGAGAATTGCCTATAGTAACTTTTCATGTATTGGTGCAAACCACTCAGCTAAACCAGGACTTTTTCATCTGCAGGACAATTGATGGTGTCACTTACCCTGGAATTATAAAGGAAAAAGAACTTGCAAAAAAGCAATATGAGAAGGCTGTTTCAAAGGGACAGACTGCTGGTCTTGTCAAGTAAGAATGATGTCTTGTGTGGCTTCCACATCATCATCCGATAGCAAATTGTGAGATACCTTGTTCTGGCATATTTCTGAAGTTTGTTTTTTACAAGACCAAGGAACAATCATTAAGTTAGAGTTATTGTAGTGTAAATTATAAAAACGAAATACAACTTCTGACTATGCAAGCAGCAACTGCAATTATGGTAAGACTGTGTCTGTAACTTTTACTGACTTTGTATGACCTGTTCCTGGGATTAAGCTCACTGGGAAACTTGAATAAATTGTACACTGTTTGAGTATGATTTTAGCAACAGATCAAAATTCCCATATTTGTTTTACTCCTTTTTGAAAATTGTACTCCACCAAGCCAAACAATAAATACTGTGAAAGAGGATAAAGATATTATTTTTCTTACCCACTTAAATACAGAGCTTCAGGAAGAAAAACAGAAAAATTCACTGTCTCAGTCAACGTTGAAGCAGCCAGTAAAGTCACTTTTGAACTCACATATGAGGAACTGCTGAAGCGACAGTTTGGAAAATATGAGATGTTCATCAAAGTAAAACCAAAGCAGCTTGTCAAAGATTTTGAGGTAAATGGCAAACTGTATCAAATTGGATACTGTAACTTAAGAGATGATGAAATTCTGTACATCTGTTGAAAGTGGAGTACCATGGTCATTCCCATTGGTTCACAGGTGAGCTAAAGGCCCATGATAATATTTCTAATGAATCACATGGGTAGTCCAGTATGCTTTAGTGCAGGTTTTTATTTGTAAGCCTGACAGATTGGCTCAAGCCTCCAAAAGAAATGATATATGGAAACCTGAAAAAGCCATTACGATGCCTTGGGGTAAAATAGAAGACTAATAGCTTTTATAAATGCCTTGATAGTATAAACTACACCTTTCTCACACCACCAAGAAAATACATCATCTTAAATTACAATGATACATATATTGCATTCTAGAATACTGTGGCTTTTGTGTGCCAAAACTTGTCTTTGATCACTCCTATCTGCCTTGCTAAAACCCAGCTCTACAGCAAAATTTTTCTCCTTTGTATGCCCAGAAAATTACAAACTCAGCATCTCTAAGAGTTTATGCAGCATTATTTTAAACGCACTATGACAGAAGGCATACTGAAATATAGGATGAAGCTGGGCACAACTCACAGGTAATAGCTGGGTTACATTTTTGAAGGACTTGAGTATTTATTGACATTTTACAAAATTCTAGTATCTAGCTTTCAAACAAGTTATGTTTCTATTGAGGTTTATTTGTTTCTAGCTTTGTTTTTAACTTCTATGTATAAAAAGCCTGTTTGGCTGATGGTGTGTCCACACAAGTGTGGATTTGGACTGCCATTATGAATTACAAAATTTCTTGTGCTTTTACTAAAATCCCTCTTTCACATCTGTGGTTGCCTGCTGATCCTCCTGTAAATGGCTAAGTTGATATATTGCGGGGTAATCGATAACAATGAATTTTCAATTAATATTTCAGATTGAAGTAAATATCTTTGAGCCCCAGGGTATCACTGAGCTGGAAGCAGAAGGAACATTCATCACCAATGATCTACAAAATATCATTAAAAAAACTTTTTCAGAGAAAAAGGTACAATGACTACTGACTTCCATAATTTATTTGTTACAGTTATAATTCTGAAATAATCTCAGTGCAAAAGTGCTGTAGTGGCTAGCAATGGAAGTGAGAGGAAAAAAAAAATAGAGAAAATACAGTAAAAGCTTGTCTGTACAAATGAGCTCTGAATTCCAAGCTAGCAAGTTGAAGGCCATCTCCATGCAGTTCAGAAGCCACGTAGCTGTTAGCATAGTACTGTACCCAAACTAGTAGGCCTTGTCCCACAGCAGTAGTTGGAAACCTGGACGCTGATAGGACTATTTCTTACAGAAATAGAGTCAGTAACAAGTACTTTTCTCATGTATGGAGGTGGTAGAATTGCTAAGACATAGGCTGCCCAACAGCTTTATCAAAGGCGTCATTCAGAGTGGAGGGCTGAACCAAAGAAGAAGGGGAGGTAAACCTATGAAGAAAGCCCTAGATAGCAGCCTTCACATATCAGATACCCATCAATAAATACCTAAATATCTATGGATACAAACTAATACCTAACCTGATGAAACCAGTTCTTCTCATGTCTGTGAATATAAATATACCAGTTTCACAAAAATGCAAACTTCTTTATGTTCTGTAGAAACTTTTCAGCTATTAAGGTTCATACCTAATGAAGGCTTTTCTTTTCAGGGGCATATCTCTTTCAAGCCAACTCTTGATCAGCAGCGAACCTGTGAAAATTGCTCGCAGTCGGTCTTGGACGGGGATTTTACTGTAAGATATGATGTGAAGAGAACAACTCCAGATAATTTGCAGGTAAATCTGACAGCTGGAAATTTGGAACTGTTGAACAGCTTAGCTTGTGTAGTAAAGGTCAGGCAGTAGCGAGGGCTAGCTGTTCCCTAAAGGATGAGGAGCTGAGTGTGACAACACAGCTGACAGCACAGGGGCTTCATCAGCCAAGAGCCCACTCCCCATGGTACCTGAGCAAGGCAGACCCAGAGATGGTAGTCAAATTCAACTGAGAGTCCAGGTCATCAAGCAAGTTTGTGGTGATGAGGCAGCCCAAGGTCGAGGTGGGAAGTCAGTCTGCAGGGTGGGATCCAGATCAGTGGAGTCCCTGGACAGGAAGAGGTATGGCTGTGACACAGGTGGAGACAGGTATTCTTACAGTGTAGCTCAGGCAGGGACTTAAGGCCCAGGCTTGCACTTAAATGAAGCTCCTGGGCCCATGGACAGAGGCGAGACTAGTCAGGGCCATTAAAGCCTATTAGTCCACTCAGGGTCTAGACAGTAAATGAAAGCAATTTCTTCTTTATCCATTTTATCTTTATAATACACAAAAGTCTTTCTTTTTTTTTTTTTTAATACATTTTAATTTTCAGATTGTCAATGGCTACTTTGTACACTTCTTTGCACCAACAAATCTTCCAAAGTTGCCCAAGAATGTTATTTTTGTAATAGATATTAGTGGCTCAATGTCTGGAAGAGAAATAGAACAGGTAAGTTATTACATTACTATAAAGTCCCAATGGAAGAGCCTGTGTTGTGATGGAAGGGACGTGGTGGCTCATAGTGCATATGCGCTGCTTAAGCTATACCAAGTGGTTTTATGCAGTGACCTCTCTAATGCTCAGTATCATAAGTACTAGTTTGAAGTGTTACTGTAGAACAAAATTCTATACATTTAGGCTATATTTACTTACTTATAGATGTTATTAGTTCAAAACGCTCAATATCAACATTTCCAGAGAGCTCTGTCACGTGTACTGGACAGTTCCAAAATTAAAATGTGCATACAGTATTACGTGCATTATCTATGTTGTTCATTCTGTCTCCTCTGGGAAGCAGCAGCTCTTTTCATAGCTAGAACTCCTCATTCTAAGCTCATGCTTGGAATTTTCAGGTTTTGGTGCTGCAACAAAATATCCATGCTTGCTTGCGTATGAGCTTCTCCACCAACCTGTAGCTACCCATTTCCCATCACTTTCAATTTGCCATGCCAGCTCACCTCAGTGTAAGCAACGATCCATGATGTGAGACCTGATTTTCCTCTCAGCTACAAAGATTTACCAGATGTAATTGCAACTGGCTGACTTCACTAGAGCTACTCTGAAATAGACACAGGGACTGGCAAGGACAGAACAAGCTCAGAATTTTTGCACGACATACATACTGTGTAAATTATAAAAATACCCAAATGCTGAGAAATTAATCATGTAAAATCTGTAAGCACCTATTTCGTTAAGTGTTGAACCATACATTTAAATCTCTTTGTCTTACAGACAAGAGAGGCACTTCTAAAAATCTTAGATGACATTAAAGAAGATGACTTCTTCAATTTCATACTCTTTGGTAGTGCAGTACACACCTGGAAAGAAACATTAATCCAGGCCACTCCTGAGAATCTGGATGAAGCAAGGAAGTTTGTTCGGGGCATTGACACTGAAGGCAGTAAGTACTTTACTGGACTTGCCAATAGGTTGTTGTGTAAGTTAATTTATCAATTCAGTCTGTGAACACAATACTACAGCTTTTTTTTTTTTTTTAATTAACTGGTGAGACACTCCTAAAGTTGAAATTTACTCAGAACATGACATCTATTTTTCCTTATGTTTCCAAAGTCCAGGTACTTTTCTATCGAAACATCCCACTGCTTGCAAACCCAAATCTTTCATTTTCATACTGCAATGAGATCTCATCAGATTCCAGTGAAAAATGGACCTTTATTTTGACTGTCTCTGCTGAAACCAAATTTCTATGTCTACCTTGCAGTGACAAATTTACATGGTGGTATAATGAGGGGAATTGATATGCTGAATGCTGCTCATGAAGGAAACCTTGTGCCCAAGAGAAGCGCTTCTATAATTATCATGTTAACAGATGGCCAGCCAAATGTAGGTAAGTTTGTGTTGGATGGAATAATAAAGAGACTGAATTAACTAACAAAAAAATGCTCAGTTAAAATTGGCCACCATCTTTGACTTCTGGATGTTTTCATGATTTAAAAGGCTGTAGTGTTACTACTATACAAGCATCATACTACTACAACAAGTTTTTGATAATGCCTCCTAAGAAATCTGCACATGACTAGCCACGTTTCATTTTGTGATAATTTTATCTATTTATGAAGAAAGCTCAAACTTTTTCTGGTTTGATGCAGGCATATCAAATACTCAGGACATTCAGGCGCATGTAAAAAAAGCCATTGAAGGAAGATATCCCTTGTACAATCTCGGTTTTGGCTATGGTGTTGACTACAGCTTCTTGGAGAAGATGGCACTGGAGAACAAAGGATTGGCCCGTCGGATTTATCCTGACTCTGATGCAGCTTTACAGCTTCAGGTGCAATAATCACCACTTAAATTAGATGAGAGATGCATTAATTCAGACAACTATATAAACATTCTTATTTTGAAGTAATCAAAATCCCAAAGTGTAATCTGGTACTGGGATACTCAAGAGTCTGTTGTAATCAGAATATTAGTTGCATTTAATTTTCCCCTTCCCTTATATAAGCAGAAAATGGAAGGACAGTAACAGGAAGGTACTGCAGGCTATGGAAGAGGGTTCAAAACTTGGCATAGGGTGACACAAGTCATGGTTCTGAAGGACACTTTGGTGTGCAGCAAAATTGCTGCAGTCATCCATTATATCGCCCATACCTCACAGATCATGTAGTTAATGTCACCTCAAGGGAAGAGAAGGATGACAGAGCATAAAGGCTCTAGATATTCTGTCTTTAGGAGCTTACTGCAAGTAGGTCTGTCTTGCCATGCTTCTGAAGCATTTTACAGTCATATAAGGCATGAAAACAGGTACAGGCAGTACAGAGTTGACCTTTTTTACTTCTCGCATTCCAATAGCAGCCATTCAAAAAATTCAGCAAAGACTTTAGATACTAGATTTCATTGCAAGCTCTGCCAAAATCAAATTCCTAGTCTCCTTTGTCATTTCAGTCTCTGCAGGGAATAGATCTAGAAACTTATTTCTATCAAATGAGGGGAAGCTTGGGATCCCTCTTGATTAACATTGATGGAACTCATCATCCACAGCATGTTGTTCTCAGATATTTTTGCTCTCTCTTAGTGAGACCGAAGAGTTTGTATGTCCTTTCTCATTTCCATTATTTGTAGATTTTTAGGCCTTGCGCTCTGAGATTTAATATTTAAATATTTATTCTAAAATACAGTTCTAGTTTTCATTGCTGAAATAGCAGGATGTTTCTGGGTACAGGTCTACCTATGAAATAAAGAAACAATGATAGTTAAATGTGGTTTGTTTGTGTTTTTTTTTTTGTCCTGTAGGGGTTTTATGATGAGGTGTCGAATCCCATGCTCACAGATGTGGAGTTAAACTACCCAGAAAATGAAATATCAGACCTAACTAAAAACATTTTTAAGCATTTCTATGATGGGTCTGAGATTGTGGTGGCTGGGCGCTTTATAGACAACAACCAAAACAGTTTGACTGTAGATGTGAGAGCTGAAGGCGTAAGTATGGATTTCTTTGACCTAAGTAAGGTATTTCCTTGCTATGCAAAATGTCTGAATGTTCAAAGCTGGCAATACGTAAAATATTTACTGGTATTTCTTTACCTCAGTGACAGGATGTGTTACTGCATATGTGAGAAACTAAATGCACCAAAGTCATTGCTTTTAAAACTGCAAGTTACTTGCCTAACTCCGTCGGGTATGCTGGGGTCAGTCTGGAACAACTTTGTGCAGTGTGACTGGATTAGCTTTGCTAACAGATTTTTTTTTTTTGTTTAGTCTCTAAATACCCTACCTGGTTCTTTCAGGAGCCCAGTGTTCAGTGTTCACAGACACGAGTCTTCACTGGGTGAAAAAAAACTGATGGACAAGCCAGCTGAATATTTGAAATGCCTTCCTCTTAAAATAGAAGTCTACTTCTAATATGAACCAAGTGATCTAAATACCTCTCCAGATCTGGATTCTGTAAAAATATTTGACCCTGCTATTCAAGAAGCACAACACAAATGTATTATAGGTCATGTTATCATAAATGCTGTGAACTGTGTATATGCCCCATGCACTGTGGTGTATTAAATATATTATGTGAAATTAGGTATATTTCAAATACAAGTAATGTGTTATTAGTTAGCCAGCATATCTGCTTGAACATGTTCCTATATGAAATCGGCATCATAATCAAAAAGTTCTTTAAATCCTGAGTAGACAAATTCTAATGAACAAAAATGCCATGTGAATTTGGAAACTGCATTAGGTCCTATAGTGTACACTACTAACCTTCACAGAAGCAATAGAACAAAGATCCTGATACAACACTGACAATTTCCTGGGCAAGTGCTGTGTAGGACCAGACTGGTTTTCAATTTAATAAGATTTTCAGATGTGAAGGTCTTGATTTTGGGAGGTTCTGGAAGTCCCTGGCTACTTACGATACAAAGAAATTTCCTTATTGCTAACAGGCTAATGACGCCCTGTCATATACTACACAACAAGACACTGAGCAAACTGCTAAAGCTTTTCAAGAACAAGAATACATATTTGGAGATTACATTGAAAGGCTCTGGGCTTATCTCACCATTGAACAACTCCTGGAAAAACGGTAATTATATCTAGGATAATATCTTAGCTGTGAACCCGTTAAGCCATCTGACTGGTGCAACTTCTAGGATACGAAGCTGAAATTCTCATCACACTGAGGTGCCAATGGGGAAGCATAAAAAACAGTAAGGAAAATCCCCCAACCTATTCTCCTCCCCAGCCTCAGTATTCCTGTTTCAGGTTGCAAATGAAACAATTTTAAATTATTGCAAATATAAAGCACAGTTTTGCCTTTTTCTTGGGTAGCCAGTGGAATCAGAAGTACTCTTAGACTGTAACAAATACTCCTTATTGAGAAATTAGCTGCAGAGAAACGACTTCACTTTAAAGAAAAAATATTTAATCCAGAGTTCAGTGAGTAATTTAGCAATCATTGGTGCTAGGAGTCTCTACCTGTATTCAGTATTGCAGCTACGGGAGAAGAAAAGGAGAATCTTACAGCCGAAGCCCTGGCTCTCTCACTAAAATACAAGTTTGTAACGCCACTGACATCCATGGTGGTAACAAAGCCAGAAGACTCTAACAATCAAGATGGGATTGCCGATAAACCCGTTGAAGGTATAGACATTTTCAGTTTTACTTTATTTGAGAAGCCAAGTGTTCTTTTGATGTTCCCCTAAAGAAAGGCTTTTGTGTGGGCACAGTTTTAAACATGTATCTGAAAAATCTGCTTTCCAAGCCTCGCACGTGTATGGTTTATGCAAAACTAATTTTCATCATAAAGCTCATTTCCATCAGACCATCCTTCATTACCAAATCATACAGGCAAAATGCTATCAATTCAAAATAAGTGTATTTTAAGCTAAATATATAAAATATTACATTAAAAAAATGAAACCCAAGAAGCATTTCTAATCTAATAATCCAGCTATATTCAGTTTAGTTCACATCACTTTCTCCTTTATTTTTCTACATATTTCAGCTTAGGGGTAGATGTAGTAACATCTTTCTACATGAAAGGAGAAAATTTGCCTGAGATCTGCCTCGTGCAGGATGTATCAGCTTGTAAAAAGAGGGAGATTGTATCTGTAAAACACAGTATTGCTATATATTGCAGAAAGAGAAGCAATTGCATTGAAAGTGCACAATTTGTTCTCAACTCCTCTGATACTTTGTCTAATTATTAACTCCTCGCTCAGTAAAACACCGTGCTTTCATACGGTTCAGCCTCTTTGTTTAACCTGTGTGAAACAAAATGACTCTGTTCCTCTTCAGCAAAGTAAGGCAAATGCTGTCTGCTCAGTGCACCCCAAAGCCACCCTGCCCTTATCTATATGTGCTGTTTGGGCAATCCTCATCTCTCCCTCACTCAACAGGGCTGACAAACCTCTTGTGAGGCTTTTCAGTCTCTTCTATTAGCATCCATTTTTTCCCCAAACATTTGCTTAGTGCCCCTAAAAGTTCCTTCCAGGCTCTGTGTGGGCTCTCTGATGGCTTCTAGATGAAAAACTTGCTCATCTCCTGAATTTGGCATGGCAACTTAAGGCATTTTAGCATAACAGAGATCCTTACTGGAGGTTGGTGGGTTTTTCTTTCAACTGGAGTAAGTCCTGAAACCAATTAATTGCTAAGTGCCCTTCAATTCTGAATAATTCTTCAGGCATTCTGCTGATAAAATTTTTGCATTATTTTTCATAACTACCATAACGGGATACTGACATAAAAACACCTCATGTTTAATTTAACGTTCAAGTCACTATACAGCGTAACGACTTTAAAGTTTACAGCTGGACTCCATAAGATGGAAAAAACTTACCCAAACATCTGACAGAAGTGGCATCCACTCAGAGTGATCTTCAGCTCTTTGCTTTCCCTTTCCAGGTACTTGTAGTACAAAGGCCCTTTTCTGAACCTCTTTCCAAGTAAATCCTCTTTGTATGTAGAAAGTATAGAGCAGTAACAGGAGAAAATACTCAAACCACTGCTGCTGTATAAGAAAAGAAAATCATTTTTACACACCCTAGAGTCTAGAGTCACAAATGGGATTACTGAATCATCCAGTCAGTATTAACGGAACGATGCAAATGCCTTGAAAAGCACAAAAGAATAAAACCAATAAGGAGCATTTTGCAATGTGGAAATGGCAGAACAATAAAACAATTACTAATAATGCTCTTGTCTTATGCATAATTAATTGCAGTTTTGCTGCCCCACATAACAGCTTTTTACTTTCAGCGTGTTTCTGTTTGATCTACAAATATTGAGTTGTATCATTGTGAAGAAATGGAATTGTAAAATACTGAAGATACCTGGTTGAATTGTCAAACAGTTATAGTTTTTTTTCTTAGAACATGTTTTAACAGGGTCAGAATCCTTCCTGTTTATTCATACAACTGAAACTGTAAATTTCTCTTTTTCTTCCTTTTACTTCTTCCCTGCCCATGGTAACAGCTGAAGGTATGTACGTTTCTTATTAAATTACTTAATATTTTTAACTGTTAGAGATGTATTTCCTGCATCACTTACTTGATCTAGGATGCAATATTTTCATAAAACTCTTGGTGAATAAATCAAGACTGTGTTATAAATAGATTAAAAAAAATTCAGCTGGAAAAGCGTGTAAATACCATTTACATTTACTAAATTACATTTAGCGTGTGGTTCCTCCTATCTCTGATAATTGCAGCATCCCACCATCACAGAATTCAGGCCCAGTACAACCAAGCTGCTTGCCAGGGCCAGCACTGTTGACTCCTGGATACCTGTGTGTTGCAGTCTCTCATACAGAGACGTCTTCATTGACGCTGCGATTGCTACTTCTTCAGCACAAAGCAGTAGCCTTCAGACACCTCTCCATAGCTTCAGATGTAAAAAGAGCAGAAGGCTAGAAAAATGTGGAAGCAGGGGGGTGAATCTTACTGACTTCCCAGTCGTGCAGTTTAGAACAAGACGGCACAGAGGAATCAGAGAAGAGCAGGTTGACCCAGCCCCTTACGGAGCAAACCCCATGCCCTTGGAAAAGTGACGTTTTTGCTGAAAAGTAGGGTGTGCTTTCTGCCTGTTCATGACATTTGCTTTGTTGCAGTACTAAATAAACTGCTTTGACTCAATTTTTCTTTTTAAAATATTTAGAAATTTATACGCAATTGCAAGATTTTTGGAGTTGGGTTTGGTGGAAGGAAGGAAGTGGGGGAGATTGTTTTTTATTCTTTCTAGCCTCTAAAATAACATTTTGTTTTGTTCACAGCACAGGCTGTCACAGCTGTTACGCTGGGTAAGTCATTAGTTTAAGTTTCTAAATGAAGCAGCATCTGTCAAAGGAAATTGATTCAGACAACTGAAATTGCCAGAGAGAGAAACTGCCTTTTCTGGGTTTACAACTGTATTTGAACAAATACCACCAAATTCTACCCATGGCTAAAATGTTGCTCATCGCTAAAAACACACTTAAAGGTTGAAGAGTACCAGATGAAAAGGTTTCAGCTAAATAGCTTTTAAGGAGTAAATGCCAGTTCATCAAACCACCATTTTTTCCTGAAAGCTGTTTCCCAAGCACAGAGGATGGACTTGAATTTGCATCTCCTTTGGAATTATATAAAGCAAGGGACTACAATGTCAGCATCTCTGGCTAAATTAATGTGTTCTGTTACTTATACAAAAAGAAACTGTTTTATTCAAGAGAGAGACAGCAACTGACCCTTCAGATTCCTGGTTGGGCAATCCTGGAAATGGGAGAGTTAGATTTAAGTTTTTGCTCTGGAGATTACTCTCAGTCTCAGTCTCAGTCTCTGTCTGGTTTTCTCACATCTTCATTGACTTAAATTCATTCTGGAAAAAAACAAATGTCAAAACCTCAAAAGTTTTCAATGGATGATATTGCATTTCCTTGCTGATAGACAGCTTAATCCTTAAGTCTGAAACATTTGTGTCCTACAGATACAGTACTTGGGCCTTGTGTAAACCCTAAAAGCAATTCAGACTACAAGTGAAATCTGTCTTTATCCTGAAGCTGTGCTTGATTCAAAAGGGGCACAGACTGTTATTCCATGGACTATATGTTTTAAAAACTAGGATGGAATTAGCAATTTACCTAGCATATTAACTTCCTGATATCTTACGTGAACTGTGCAGATAGCATGTAAATATTCCATTTTGATGTGAGTTCTTCTAACAGGTTTTTTTTCTTTACTCTCAGCAGCTCCACAACTATCATCTTACCTATATATGGCACACCCCACATGGTATACTAGTGGTGAGTAGTTTGAGTAGTGTCTGCTTAGAAGGAGAAGAGAAGAGGGTATTTAAGACTAAATTGCATAATTCTTATTAGTCTTTTTGATAATTCCCTTCCACAAAAGCAGCCGTTTTTTATTTCCCAGGGGCTAGTATTTTAATTTACTTTAAACATCTCTACATGTTTTGTAAAGATCAAGTCACTGAGATTATATATGGTCATTTTTACTCCTCCTTCCCATTGCTAGGCTTTGTGTTGGTAACTGCCTGTTCTCTATTCAGATGAACTTCCTGGCCTCAGTAATATTTTCATGGCCCTCCGAGATAAGCACTTAGAAGCGGCCATCCCAAACCTACAATCCATGAGCAAAATAGCGCAGTGGTCAAAAGGCACAGGATATATGTCACGTACCTGGGAAAGATGAAGGGAAAAAGGCCATAGTTCACTTTGGGGAGATGGTAGGAGCTTCCCTGGGACCCCGCCACTCCTTCGGAGGATGGGCTGGACTAAGCTGGGCGTACAGCTTGTGCAGGGACCAGTTCCTGCTGGTCCCCAGCATCAGCAGTTCCATTGCCACAACGTTGAACGTTCATGTGGAACTTTGAACCTGCATCGCTATACAAATACCAGTGATTTGCCTTTACAGTTGATGGAGATCCACACTTCATTATATCAGTGCCACAAAAAGAAGACGCCATTTGTTTCAATATCAATGAAAACCCGGGTGCTGTGTTAAATTTAATAAATGACCCAGTTACAGGTGAGTTTTTAATTTTTTTAAATACAGTTAATCAAGATACTTATAACAAAATTTCTTACATTTCAAGGCTACCTCTCTCTTTTGTACTATATAAGTTTTTTTCCCAGCCAAGTTAGTAGGAGTTCCTGTAGCTGTGACAGGGTACCATCACCATGACTGTTTTCAGTTGTCGGAGCAAAATGCGCTTTTAAACGTTGTTTGAGAACCACTGTGAGAGCTGAGAGACACAATTCGTCTCAGTGAGCGGTAGTACAAGCAATAAAATAATCCTTAGGTTGCCATTTCATGGAATACCTGGTAAAGAGAGACTGATGTCACACAGGCTATTTGTGCCCGTCACAGACTCTTTGTGCTCTAGGAAATATTAAACTTTCCTCGATAAAGTGACTGTTGTCTTTGTGGAAATCCACAGAACAGCCCCCAGAGCTTTATTCTACTTTGGCACAAACATGCACAAGTAATTCTGGTCTCTTTTTCGACTCGTATTTGTTTCCTTGAGGAGTTGTTAAATTTCCATGACGCTCCTTGATATCAGTTGATCAGATCCTATCTATAAAACAATACTTGATGTTTCCTTTTGATATTAGGCATCACAGTCAATGGAGAACTCATTGGTGATAAGAGAGCAAATACTGATGGAAAGGTCCAAAACACATATTTTGGAAAACTTGGCATTGCAAATAAGCACCTGGATTTAAAACTGACAGTAACTCCTGAGAAGATCACAATTCAGAATGGCAATGAAAAAACGGGTTTCACCTGGCTTGACTCAGTCACCTTGCAACAGGAAGGGTAAGGCTTACAGAAAGAATATCAGGCTCCTGTTTTATTTTCTACACTATTTTTAGTGATGATCAATAATATACTTTTAAGATTTGTTGTCTGAATATACAAAAGAAACTGATTCAAGTCCTGCTGGATTCTGCTCTCTACTTTGTTGTGTAACTGCTGAATGATTATTCATAAATAATTCCTCTGCTCGAAATAAGCAAAAGTGAAGAACTTTCCCTGATTTTCTATTACTACAACTAAGGTAAAACTGGATTTGGTATTGTGCTTAATGCAACAGTGTCTTGCAAATACTTAAAGAGTAGCTTTAGACATAGTGTGTAATCTTTCAAAGAAAGACATAATAATGTGCTGTAAACAATCTCCACTTTAAGAAATGGAAATTGTGATATTTCTAGAAGAGGTACATTTTGTCCTGTCAGCAGGTATGTTTTTCATGAGATTTATCTATTACAGAATCATTTATACCTGTGCAAAAGGAAGTTTAGAAAAGGAATGGGCAGCATCTCCTCTTCATTTACGTTTTCATTGTGTACCTGGAACAAAATTACTGCCTTCTCAAAGCATGGCACTGCAACAGAAAGAGCACCGCAGCAGAACTGTTATTCATACAGCATGCTTATTTTTTTATTACGATAGCCACATTGATGATACCACTAACACAATCAGAAGCAAATCTTCCTTGTCCTAGCACTGAGGCAGATGGTTCAGGAGCTGTCTTTTCTGAAAAACAAAAGGAAAAGGTGTCAGGTAGCATCCAAGCAAGGAAGCGATGGTTTTAGCCATAACATTTTTGTTACTGAGCATGAGGTGCTGTATCTACATATCACTAACCTATCTGTGATGAATTACGTCGTTACAGGATGAGTTTCGGTAGAAACATCTTGCTGAAAAGTTTAAAGGCTAGGTAGCTTTTTACAGTGTAATTTAGTATGAGTTGGACTGTCTGTGAACACACACAGATTCACGTGGACCTAACAAGGCAGCAAAACCTCTATTTTAAAAAACACTGAGCAATTTATAAAGTCATGTTTGTTTGTTGGACATGTTTCTTCTTCTCAAGTTTCTTCTCCTCAAGTTTCTTCTCATTGCTGTTAACTCTAGGAAGCACAATGCCCTAAGTCAAGTTTCTCTTTTTTCCTCAGTTTAACTTTGATAATTAACAGAAAAAAAAATCTGGTGCTCTCAATGGGCAGCGGTGCCTCATTTGTTATTGTTTTGCACGAAGTATGGAAGAAACATCCTCTCCACCAAGATTTCCTAGGACTGTATACGTTGGAAAGTGATAAACTGTCTGAACAGACCCATGGATTATTAGGTATGACTTCATTTAGTGTTTTCATGCTCGTCTTTCCTTATGAGGCTACATAATTTGTAGACACAATCTTGTGCTTAGCCTTCCTGAACCGAGATCGCAGAGGAAACTGAGATGACATTGATTGGCCGTATTAAGATTTCTGACAAAATATTCTGGGCTCAGACTTTATGCATTATCTTTTCATAAATTCCTCTGCTGCTGCTGAAATCACTAGCATCCATTTTCCTCACTGGTGTCTTTAAACCTCTTTATCTTGCTAAATCCCACCTACAGATTTTTTTTTTTCTTACTACACTATTCCTCCAGTCTCTTGGATGGTTTGCTCTCTCCTTTCATCTTATCACCTTTCTCCTAAGTACAAGCACTCTGAGAGAATACGTGTGTTTGCTCAATCAAAATTTGCCAAACCTCAATTAGGACATCCTTGTAAGAAAAGAAGTTGCTAAGGTATATCTTGATTTACTAGCATATATTAAAATCTCAGAATGCCTTGTATCGTCTAAGATTTTCCTCATGTTAACTAACATTCTTTATTCTAGTAGAAGGCGAAGTTGGTAAGTCAGGGATCAAAATTTTGAACCCATTGAATCCTGTTTTCTGCCAGCGTAGTGGGTTTGGTGGTGTGCATTCTCAGCTGGAAAATACACAGCTAGCAGCCATTTTCCCTTGCCTTCCAATTTTCACTTACAAAATCAGGTAAGGGTGGCAAACAATCATTTTGGGTCAATAAGTTTACTCCTTGTGGAAAATAATGAACTGCTGCAAACGTACCCTTCTCAGTCTTGGTATGCACTTCGGGGCCTGAGGAGAGTGAGCCAAAGCATCAGTGGCAGTACGTGTTAGGGTCCGTGCGTCATGGGAAATGGTGTAACAGAACAGAAAAAGAGCAGAATAAGGATGGAATGTTATTCATGCTTTCCTGCTCCAGTCTCCTCAGGCTAAAGGACTTCTCCACACAGAAGTCATTCTGCTATGGTATGAATTGCAAGTAGCAAGAAAATTGCAAAAGCCCACGTGACATGTGGGTACACCATGTTACAGGTCACTGACTTACACATCGCTATTTTCATCATCTTTGACTTTGCCTCCGTACTTCACTAAGCAAGCTAAAGTCTGTGCTCGTTATAGCACTCAAAGCACCAGCAGCATCCTGCACCAGCCCAGACAGGGCAAAAGTGTGTGAAAGCTAATCCTGGCAGGAGCGCGAAAATTCCTTAGGTGTCAGCCTTGTTCTGAGCATAATCACATCCAAAAATTTCAGAGGTCAACTCATGCATTATTTGATAAAAAAAAAGCTAAGACTTGGAGAGTATGTAATAAATACAACTGAATCGAGACACAAAGGGAGGATATCTTGAAGTATATCTAGAAAAGGCTAATTTTACTGTGCACTCAGAAGCTGGAACTTACATCCAGATGATATGCATAGAATTCTGGCTTATAAAAAGAAAATAATACCATAGGCACACATTCAACCTTACACGAAACCTGGTGTTTGCTTATCCATTCAAAACCCGGAGGGGACATGGAAAACAGCACGGGAATGTAGACATTCTGGGGTTTCTCCTTCGTTTGTTTCTGTTTTATTGTGTGCAACATGCCTGAAACGGTCATTTTGGCTTCTATTTTTAGGACAGTTTTTCCACCCCATTGACTTCACCATACTTGAGGTTCATCCTGGGTCTGATCCCAAGAAACCAGATGCCACAATGATCGTTAAAAACAATGAACTGACAGTAACAAGGTAAAAAATAATTAAGTCCTTAGCGAAGACTTAGGAAAGATTACCTTGTCAAAATGCAGTTTCTGCTTCGATACGCCCATGACTGTATTTTCCCTTTCAGGGGCTGGCAGAAGGATTACAGAAGAGGTCCTAAGCAGGGCGTTGATATTCCTTGCTGGTTTGTTCATAACAACGGCGCTGGGCTGATAGATGGTGTTCATACGGACTATATTGTTCCCAGTCTGTTTTAAACAACTACAGCTTCCTCCAAATTCATGGGTATACAGGGTATTTGTCTGAAAGAATAGTATTTTTCAATGTTTAAGAAGTATTAAAAACACATAAGCTTACCATGTTTGGCAAAGCCAAGATATGACGGATTCTCACTGCATATTTCATCACATCTTAAGTGCTAAACAGCTATTCTGCTTGTGTGCACAGATATGACTCATCCCCTGAAATATCCTCGTTTTACTGAATTAACTTACTAGTTTTAAAATTGTGACTTCAAATGTTACTTTGTAAAACGTTACAGAAACATTTTATCTAATGTTAAATCAATAACTGAGCGTCAGGAGTGATTGAAATAAAAGCATCAGTACTTAATGCCTTGTTCTGTTACTCCAACAGCTATCACCCTTTTCATCCCGGTGTCACAAAGCCCAGGATGCCAGGTGCATTTTGAGGAGAGCTGACAGAGCAGCAGGTATTTCAGGATCGGTCAGTAGCACTTAAAACCATCTGACCACTTGGCTGTGCAGCACCGAGGGCCAGTGCAGCGCCGTCACTCAAGATGACTGTTAGCATCCAGAACTTCTGTATTTTAGTATTTTAATTTGAGCTTCACTTTTCAATGCCCATATCTTCATAAATTAATGAAATACCACAGTTCCAAACAGCACTCAGATTTAAGTAATAGTAGCTGTCTTTTGGACAATACCTTTTTTGTGTAAGAAAGAGCCTTACTGTCTTCCAGTAAAATTCCTCCCTCTGTTCCCATAACAGAATTTATGTACATATTTCAGGGCAAGAAATGTCCCATTTATTTATATATTCATTTTGTACTGGAAGAAATTGTAAGCTCTTAGTTCTAAAGCAAAAAAATAAGATTTCTTATTTACTTCGAGTTTTCTTTTAATCAAATTAGCCATAGCAAGGCAATCATGGTCTCACATGGCAAAGTAGAAAATTTCCCTACTGTTATATGACAAGGAGAGAAAGTCAGCATGTGGGAAACTAGAATGCACACAAACATGAGGAAAGAGGAGCGTAGTGGGAAAAACAGGGATGACATAAGATGTGCTGGGTTAAATTGAAAGAGCAAAGGTAGAGGTGAACAAAAAGGCAACAGAAAAATCAAAGAAGAAAAAAAATAGAGGAAAAAGATGCTTCCTGTTAAATTTATGGGAGAGACAGGCCTTCTCCAGGAACAAAATCCTTTGCTAAAAGCGGGATTTTTGTAGAAGAAAAAAAAAAAATCAGTTCTTGGGGGGGGAGGTGTCACAGTGGCTAGGTATCTGTGCCTGCTAAATTCAGACAAAAATGATGAGAGACAACAGTATTTTCTACAGAAGGTAATAAGTTACTGAAAAATGAGGAAGGCAGGGAGAGAAACAGGCAGGAGTGAGAGAAGACCAGAAAACTGAAACTAGTAAGGTTAAGTTTATATGGTTCTGAATGTTTGTTCTAAGATAATGAACTAGATGGAGTAAAATAAAATAAAGCAATGATCCATTTTGGATCCTCCTGTTCAGGAACTGTGGGCCTGCCCGTCAGGGCTGGTCCCATACTCACTTGCTCCGTTAAAACAAAAAACCGTAGCAGTGGACAGCAGACCTTGACCTACCTGGCTGGCAAAGTCTAGGCACAAGGCAATACCAGGCACAGCCCGAGCCAGAGCTTTCCTCCTTAATTTATGAGGCTGAGGCAAGTCTCCGGAGGTGGCAGGAGTCTTGTCGGCTGTGACTGAATTGTCAGCCAGGAGTTGACCTCAGAGGCTCTAGTCTGCTTTTGCATGGCTTCTGTGGCAGCCTGAGGAACTCCCACTTACGCAGGTGGGGATAGAAAAATCTCCTTTTTAATATGGAGTTCTTCCCAGATTCCTGCAACGTAGGAGATGATAACTGCAAATGTAGCTAAAGGTGATGATAAGGAGAGAGAGAAGTAGCAGACAGATCCTTACAGTTAGATAAAAATTTTACTGCTACCGCCAACTGGTACAATGCTGGTTAAAAGAGAAGAGTGTGAGGTATACTGTGTATTCTGCATCGGAATTAGGAATTGTAGAATGCAAAGTATTCATCACTGTGTCTGCCTTCAGCTTCTTGAGCAAGGGAAGGGAGCGCAGGAAGTCAGAAGCCCATCAGAACTCACTTCAGGGCTTGGAAAGGACAGGAGGAGAGTGACTAAACAACAAATTAAGACACAACTCAAGTGGAAAAGAGCGAAATGGAACATACTTACGGAATGGAAAGCACATGTGCACAGGGGAAGCAGCCCTGCGGAAAGGATTTGGGAGCGGCAGTAACCAGGCACACCAGCGACAGGGCTGCTGCGGAAAGGCCGGACATCCCTGTGGGTACAGCCGGCGAGCACCTCTGACACCCGAGAGGCTCCATCAGCCGGCAGCGGCCACGGGTGCAGTCCCCCATGCAGCTCGGGGCACAGCACCTCAACGCAGCGTAGACAAAACGGATGCGGTCCAGAGGATCGGAACAGCCTTGCAAGGAAGTCATAGAAAGAGGAGGGAAAAAGCCCCAACTATGTAAAAAGTTGCTGTGAGGAAAGCTGACATCTGGTTTTCTTCCCGTCTATCAAGGTTAGCAGGATCTGCTGCTTTGCAGGATCTGCCTCTTTGCAGCAAGGGAGAATTGCATTAAAAGGGCAGCAGGCTGCCTGGGGCGTTTGGGGAAGCTCAGGCGTTGCAGGTTTTAGCGGCTGGGTTAGACGAGCGGCTCTCACGAATGGTCTGTGCACGCTTGAGCCTTGCTTAAAGCAGAGGGGATCAGGTGAAAGACCCCCTCCAGCCATGCCTCGCCGCTCCCTCTTTCAGTGCTGTTTGCCATCCCTGCAGTTCGCAGGCAGGTGGAGGAGGCAACGCATAGACTCTATAACTGAAAGTAGGGAATTTTTAACTTGCAGTAAGTCCACTGATAAAACCCAGCATCAACAGCATGTAATTCAAATACCAAGTTCATTTATAATAGAAATAATCTGCTTTTCAAATTGGTAAACCTGCTTATGATGTGGCGAAGCAAGCAATCTGGTGTTTCCAGTTCCCAGATTCCACATGGTCTGTCGCGTAATTTGTCCAGCCAAATCTGCATCTCAAATCTGCATCTTGGGTGTACAAGCAATTCACGCACGTATCTTGGCATCATGTCTACGCAGTTCCTTTTGAAAAAACGGCTTCTAATAACATAGTTTGCTTTATCTTACGGACTTGGGCGAGAAGTTGCTTCTCTTTTAGTACATTGCTTTAAAATAATGTTTTTCCAATTATATATTATTGGCAGGACAGAAAGCAACTTTCGTTAAACCTTCTACAATGCTGGCATATTTATGGGTTCAAAGATACATAGGAACTGAAATTCTAAAACACAAAATAATTTTGGAATTCAAATTTATGGAAAAAAATGAGGACTAAAACTACACCTTGCTTGCCATGGGCAGAGGCTTCTGTGTGTACGTTTCCTCTGAAACCTTACCTCCGCGCACCCCGTGTTCTCTCGAGTTGTTCATTATTTGTAAAACATCTTCCAACATTTGCAAAATGTTGTATGAAGCAGTGCCAAAAAAAGCTGCTAAATTTCAGGGTTGAAGTGCTGTCTTTTGCAACAAGCCGAGGTCTGTTTTGCAACAAGTCAATGTCTGTTTTGCAGACGTTTTTTAAAAAGAGCCCCAGAAAGTTTGCGCCAATGAAGGGGACTGCAGCCAGTGCGGGCTGCCGTCCCCGCTCACCCTCCGGTGGCTGATTGATTTCCTCAGCTCTGAACGTTGTTACAGAATGATCTCCAAAAGAACCCTGATACAGCAAGACTGGGTTTTTTTCTCCATAAGGCAAGACATGAGAGAAACAGTAGACTAATACTGCTTTAAGCTTCATACTCTTTTTACAAACCTCGTAGTTCAAGAACGCCATCGTTTGTAACTGGATTGAGGGTATAAATTTTAGAAAACTATTACTGTTTGCCTGACACATTTGTTGGATTGGGTGATGCCGCTATTTATTTTTATTCAGAGACCTAAGTCTGTGTGTCCCTATCAAACTGTGAGCTGATAATGACAATTTAATTTAGTTCATTCACATAAATCTTCAACAACATAACCACACTGAGAATCAGAAACCATTTTAAAATAATAAACAACAAGCAAGCACGTTCTCATCTTGAAAGTATAATTATTTTGAGTTAAAAAGATTTGAGACATTTATACATAGTAGCAGGTAAGGCTTTAACTGTGTGGTTTTCTTGATGAGAGAAAGTATCAAAAATATTTGGAAGAGCATCATTTGCATAACTTTCTTTCCCAGAATTCTCTTTTCTAGGGAGTTACATCTATTGACCAGCAGGGAACAGGATCACTGGTTGACTCAAGCCTGTAATCTTTCTTGTATTGCCTGAAACAAAGTCAAACCAAGAAAAATTTGTGATAAAATAACCAAAGGGCAGGCCCAGAATCGACCTTATGTTTGCAGATGGTACCAGGCGTTCAGAGGGACCGTGCGTGGGCAGAGCTGGCACCTCCGCGCTCCCAGAGCTGGAGGCAGCGGTGGTGGGGACGCACGGGGACAGCGAGCAGAAGCTGCACGCTCACAGCATTTCTTCCACATCACAGAAACTTGCTAAAAGCAATTAAAGTGTAGAAGTTGTTTCTCGTGGTAAACCCAGCTGAGGAAACACCCTCCCTCTATCCATGTAAACGAGGCAGCAGAACCTTACTTTATTTGGCATTTTTTATGCAAACCATAGCCCCAGGGTATGATTCCCCCCCTCCCCCGCCTTATGAAATAGGAGCCTTGAGCCCTGTAGCATCACTTAACAAGCAAAAAATTCAGGCTGTTAGGGAAAAATTCAAGCACAAGTTCCTATTATTTACACCAAAGAGGTGTATTCTTACGGACAAACACTCTCTTAGTTTAATTTCTTTTGATCTCTGGTATTAGCTGATAAAATACATCTCAAAGCATGGACACCACTCACCCTGATCCCATATCCGTTACCTGGTAACTTTGTGCTCAGACCCGGACACA